ATATGGGATCTTTTGAAACAAGAAACCCACAAATAACAATAATGAACATGATATTTTGACTTTGTAAAGTTTGAAAATCACTAGTCTTGGTCACTCTCCTTATTTGATGGATAGATAAAATAAATTGTGATTTCAGGTGACAGACATTTTGTGGCAGAGTCACTTTTTTAAAAAGTTTTTAGTTGATTCTTTGTGGATTTCACATCACGTGTCCTAATCCCATTCATCTCCCTGACCCTTCACCTCTGCCCTCTTGCCTTTTTCACCTCCCCTCAAAATAAAATAAAATTTAAAAGAAAACCAAAAACCCCAAACCGAAACCAAAACCAACCAACCAAACAAAATAAAAAAAAAAAATGAAGTCTTGGTGTGAAAGCCGCAGTCTGACACAGTGGTGAGTCATACCATTTACCCTTTAGTTCAGAAGTCTTCACTTGCGAGTGTTCTTTGCTCTGGTTCGATACCCCTGGCTCTGCTACCCCCTTAACACTGGGCCCGCACTGGGACTGCTCTTGGATATCTCGTTGCTGTTTTGTGTCACTGGAGATCCTGAAGCATTGGATCTGCAGATCTGGCCCCTTGCATGCTCCAGCAGTTCATGGATGAGGTGGATGTTGGGGTGGGCTAACTCACAGCCCTGGTTCTGGTGTAGCTGGGCTGGTTAGCCCGGCACCTTTTCCTTATCGTCACCACCAGGGTGAGCTCTTCAGCACTGCCCTCGCTAGTTCACCCTCTGCAGCTGGCCCCAAGGCGTAGGGGCCAGTTTTCCTGCTCTCACGCCTCGGGACCAGCTCATCTGCACTCACAGCACCAGGGCTAGCTCTCCTGTTTTGCCCAGGTGAGGTACGGGGCCCATTCTCCTGAGTGTTGCAGTTGGTAACTGCAGGGCCAGCTCCCCCGCCTACTGTCTACCATAGATGGCACGGGGAGGGTGGGGGAGAGTGGGGCAAAGGCATCTTGCTCTCACTCACACTGCCTCCGCTCATGCAGAGGGAATGGGGGCTTGGACTAGCTCTCCTGCTCTCACGCCCTCAGGGCCAGGTCAACTGTGCCCTTCCCAACTGGGTAAGCTCTACTGCCTTGCCCAAGCAGAGCCTAGGGCCTGCTCTCCACCCCAGAGTGCTGCAACTGCCGAGGGGAAGGACCAGCTCTCCCACTCTCAGGACCTCAGAGCCAGCTCTCCCACAGCCACGGGCAGTGAGGGGCAGGGATGCAGGGCATCTCTCCCTTGCCCACTCCACCGTATTGCAGATGAGCGGTGGGGCCAGATTTCCCATGCATGTTCGTGGGGCCAAATCACCTGTGTCCACCCCGATAGAATCAGCTCTATTGTGCTGCCCAGGCGAGGTGCAAGGTCCCCTGTCTCTAGTGTTGCAGCCAGTGAGGAGCAGGACCAGCTTTCCTGGGCTTGTGACCCCAGGACCAGCTTTCCTGCCTGCTAGGTGGTAAGGGGGAGTCACATTTTTTAACTGAAAATTTTTTTCATATAATATATTTTGATGACAATTTCATCTCCCCCAACTTCTCCCCATTCTTCCACCCTCCCCACCTACCCAACTCCAGCTCATTTTTTTTCTCCCTCTAGAAAACAACCAGACAAACAACAAACAAACCAGGATTTTAAGAAAGAAAAAAAGAAAAAAATATATAAGAAACACACACACCATAAAAACATAAAATCAGAAATCGTAATATACAGGCAAACGATCAGTAAGACAAAATGTCCAAACAAAGCCATATGAGACACAAAGTCTACAAGAACACTGCTGGGTTTGTTTTATGTTGCCTGTATACTGCCTGGTGTGGGGCCTGTGTTTAACTGTAGTTAATATGCCCAGTGAATAGAGTCACATTTCTAGTTAAGGCCTCTTTGCTGTGTGTCCAACAATTGTTCTGTTAGTTTATAAAAATGGCCTCATCACTGAAAAACTATTATGTGAAGGGCAGATTGGCTTTCTTGTTCTGGGGATGTAGTTGAGTTGGTAGGATGCTTGCCCAGTATGCCTGAGGTCCTGGGTTTGATCCCCAGCCTGGCATAAACAGGGATTGGTAGCATGTATCTGCAATCCTAGCACTGGGGATTGGGTGCAGAAGGATCAGAAATTCAAGCTCATGCTTGGTTGCACAGGATGTTTGAGATCATCTTGAGGTACGTGAGATCCTGTTTAAGGGGAAAAAGGCAGAATAATGTATAAAGAAACACACTGTGCTGCAAATCATGCTTGACAAATCCAGACAGCAATGATAAAATGGTGTGTGAGTGTACAGATGTAGGCAGATTGGAAGACAACCTCGACTGTCCTTCCTCGGGAGCTGTCCTTGCTGTTTTCTGAGACAGGCTCTTTCACTTACCAAGCAGGTAAGTCTGGCTGGCCAGTGGACCTCAAGAATCTGCCTGTCTCCTCTGTGCAATGACAGGCAGATGCCACAGTACTGGACTATTTTTTTTTTTTTTTTCGAGACAGGGTTTCTCTGTGGTTTTGGAGCCTGTCCCGGAACTAGCTCTTGTAGGCCAGGCTGGTCTCGAACTCCCAGAGATCCGCCTGCCTCTGCCTCCCGAGTGCTGGGATTAAAGGCATGCGCCACCACTGCCAGGCTTGGACTATTTTTTTTAAGTGGTTCAGGGAATTGAACTCAGGTCCTCAAGTGTAGCAAGCACTCTTCTTCCTTCCTTCCTTCCTTCCTTCCTTTTTTTTTTCTTTTTTCTGACTGAGACATAAGCTCTGCTTCACTTAAGTGTTTGGATAAAGGCAAGAAGTATGGTGGGCATTATAGGGTAGAAAACTTTTGCTCTGTGTAATAACTTTTAAAAATAGAGTTGGTACCATTCAGTCATTGAACATACCACCTTGAGAATACACAGACAAACTGAGCAAATTAAAATGATCAATGACCACCACCACCACCAAAAAGCTGTTCCATGCTAGGTACCTTGTGGTGGCCTTATCTAATGCATTTTTCTGATGATATAATGGTCTGTGCCTTTCATTGCCCTACAGTTATTGTCCATCTGTGTAAATCAGAGACAATTGGTAGTAACAAAGGTGCTTCTATCCACGGAGATGAAAAGAACTTGGTCTGTAGGAGAAGAACAGGCTCTCCCACCTCCCTAAAACCAGTTTGCACAGGCTCTCCTACACCTCCTTCCCAGCCAGTTTTGCACCAAGTAACCTATTTATACCAGCATCTCTGCTGTTTTGAGGCAGAATATCTCTCGAGCATCATCCGAACATTTTCCCCCATCAAAGGGAGCAGTCTGTGGGTCTGAACCAGTTTAGCTTCTTATTGGTTGCTTCATTATTAAGCTAAAAAGTTGAAATATATTTATTTCATATTTTCATGAGATTGACAATTACCCTGTTAAAATCAATTATGTTTTTAAAAATATTTTTTGAGACTTTTCAAAAATATTACTTATTTGAATGTTTTTGCTAGTGTGTATCTGTACACAATATGTGTGCAGTGCCTGTAGAGGCCAGAAGAGGGCGATGCCTCCTCTGCAACCGGAGTTACAGGCAGTTGAGAGTCATGTGGATGCTGGGAATCTAGGTTCTTCATTCAGTGGTCTTAACCGCTGAGCCATCTCTGCAGCCTGAAAGCAGCTATGTCTTACTAGGAAGCCTCGGTTCTGGCTTCAGAATGAATTCTTATTCTTTCCTCACCGCTACACTTCTGCCCAGACTTAAGATGTCTCTACACTTTAAGAATGTTTCACTCTAATTCCTCTTACTGGAGAGGTTGAAACAGGAGAACGGCAAGTTCAAAGCTTGCCTGGACAGTTTTGGGAGTCTCTGAAAGTAAGAAGAAAACAAAAGGCTGGTGCTGGAGAATGAGCTCAGCGATGGAATGTTTTCCAAGTCTACTCTGTATGCCAGGCAGCAGATTCAACCCCAGATTTAGGGTTTACGACCACCAGGAGGCGTGGAAGCCTTCGCTTGTCCGCTTGGGGCACAGTGGCAGACGGACCGGAAAAGGGGGGTTGGAGTAGAGAACCGCAGGGCTGGCTCGTCAAAGCCCAGCCTTTCTTGACTATCTTTATGGCAGCAGAGGAAGTCAGTAGGAGAGCGCACACCGCAGAGGGCAAAGTCCGGTTGGAATTAAGAAAGTATCTATGACCTTTAAAACTGAACGCAAAGCGCAAGATCCTCCCTGAACTAAATCTTCGCTGGCTCCGATTTTTGACCACCATCCCGCTTGACGTGTTATCCAAAATCAAATAGGGAGGAGACGGGGGCACTGTTGAAGAGGGAAGGACAGTGAGAGGAACCCCACTTTTTCACAAATTCTTCAAATCCTGAGGCTCTTTACAGCAAGGGGATGTGTGGGACTTTTCCAAATCAAACGTCTTTATCCTACAACCCTGCCCTGTAGTTACAAGTCAGTCACTTCTTTTCTCGCATAGACTTCGCAGCTAACTGCTAAGTAGTTTCTGATTTCCGGCTATGGAAACGGAATTCTCTCGAGGAAAAGGATTTCCCTAACAGTTATTCAAATTGTTAGTAAAAGATGATGATTGAACCGCCTACACGTCTCCAAGAGGCCCCAGGGCCACCAACAGCATAACTCTCAAATTCCTAGCCACAGCTCAAATCGGAGTTTCATCTTCGGTTACGTTCTCTGGAACCGGTCTCTGAGCCGGATCATACAATTCTCTACCTCGCAGATCCGAACTTTGAGGCAGAATATCTCTTGAGCATCACCCGAACATGTTCCCCCATCAAATGGAGCAGGAACCAGCTTGTCTTTAACAGGACGAATCCGCGGAGGGCTGGACAATATGGACAGTACGGAAAATATGGCATCGAAGCCAGACAGATCTCTTCTCTTTTTCTCTGTCTTGCGGGACTGGGGACCCGGGACGTTCCTGCTTCTTGGGTTGCCACGACGGACCGATGGCGCTGTGCGTGTGCGCGCGGGCCCTTTAATCAGGAGCGCGGGCGCGGCCCAGGTACGGGGCGGGTCCAGGGGCGGGCGAGCGCTGAGCCGGCGCTGGTCTGGGAGCCGGATTTGGAGCGCGGCGCCGGCGGGGGCCGGAGGGGGCGGCGCGGCGGACCTCGGTGGCCTCGGACGCTCCTCCTCGTGAGCGGCCGCCGCCCGCCTCCGCCTGCGCTAGCAGCTCCCTCGCCCCGGCCGGCACCAGCTGCCCTCCAGGCGGCTCACCTGGGACGCGCATACCTGGGACGCGGTGCCCGGCGCCCGCACTTGGGCCAGGATGAAGGACCGGCTGGAGCAACTGAAGGCCGTGAGTTTGCGGCGCCTGGGGATCCGGCGGGCCGGGGGCTGTGGGGGATCTGCCGCCAGGAGGAGTGGCGTGGGAGAGGGGCTCCCCTTAGCTCCCCTAACCCAGGTCGCGGGGGTGCTCTGCGCGCTAGGCCTCTCTCCTTAAGCCCCCGCCTCATCCCGCGGAGCTCTGTACCCTCCCCTCCCCGGCAGGGTCACGTGCTCGGTGATTCACCACCTAGCCCGATTTCCCTGAACGCCGGTAACCCTCTCATCCCTGTCCCCCCCACAACCCCCACAGCCAAGCTGACCAGTGTTCCTTCAGACCTGGATCCACCCCGGTGCTTGAAATCAGTGGGGCTTATGAGGTCAGGGGACTCACCCTCACCATCTGCCTTCTGTCGCCTGGCACTGTGCCCCAAATCGGTCTCCTCTCCTCTTCCTTATTTCCCTCCCGGAGCACCAGGCAGGGCTACCCCATCGCCGGAGTAGCTGAGAGTTCCGGGTGACCTCTGGAGCTGTAAGATTGTCAGGTCCTGGGACGGGCTCCCCTCCTACCAGCCGGTGGTCTCTACTTTTCCTCGCATCCCCTGGGACAGCTGTGGTCGTCTCTGCCGCACCAAAGCTGAAAAGCTTAGGTCACTTGCTTGTTTGAGCCCATTTCCTTGTCTGTCGAGTGAGAATCACCCTCCCGTAGAGGTCTGTAATGAAGATTGAACGGCACGGTGGGATTTGATATAGGGAAGTGCTGAAGGGTGAAACTTTGAGATATAGATTCATTTAGTAAGTCATTGAGTACCTTCTGCGGGATAGGGTTAGTGTGAAACTTTGGGGACCCACCCAGTGATACAGGCTGGCCCTTAATGGAATATAAAGCCCAGCCCTGGATACGCACAGCCAAGCCCATCTACCTGCCATACTAGAAGCTTCGGCCTCAGTCGAGACCTGGGGAAGGCCTCGCTGAATCTTCCCAGGTGATTAAGGAGCTCCTTAGAGTTGGGAAGTATTAGCCTGCATTAGCACTGCGGCTTTGTCCTGCCTGGCCCTGCTGGCCCTGCTGTTCACTGGTTACCCTTTAAACTCCAAGCTTCAGTTTTGTTGTCTGTAAAATGAGTAGTCGTGCAAGCTAAAAGCAAGCAAGCCTGTAGGAGAGCCCTTTGTATGACACGTAGGACTTAATAAATAGCGTTATGCTAATAACTGTTTTTTTTTTTTAAATAGAAATGGTGGCAACCAGCGGGTTGATATTGTAATTGTCTTCTTTCTTCTCCCTTGCTAGGGTGAGATCTTCCTGACCTGGTTCATGTGCTCTGGATACTGGGCTGCAGTGTAGGCTTAGAAGGCAGAGAAGAAAGGGCAGTTGCTTATTTAGTGGGAGGGATCCTCTGCCCCAAATTTGCTCTTTTGTATTTGAACCTCAGGGCATCCTTGTTAAGCACAAAATTTACTTGTCTCTGTTTCATAGGTGGGGAAACTGGAGCTCGCTAGGGGGAGGGACGCCTCCTGCCAAAGAGTTCAAAGCTGAACAGCAGTCAGAGGCAGCTTCCTTTCCTTAGGAGGGGCTCTGGACTTAGTATCTGGACTAAGATACTCCCTGACTCTCTTCAGTAGCTGGTTGTCAACACAGTAGTCTTAAGTGAGTTTTGAGTCCCAAGAATAAGGCATTTTCCAGGGAACCAGAGCAAATCCCTGTGCCTTTCAGTCCTCCAGGGTGAAGCCTGGTAAACCAGGGCTAATGACATGTTTCTCCCCTTCAGCTCTTTGGAATGTAGGGAAAGTGGGCTGCTGGTGCCTCTCTATGACAGTGTCTGAAACCACGGGGAGGCTGCTGTCCTGCTCTAGAGCCCTGCAGTGCACAGAGGACTGGCTTGAGGTTCAAAGACTTCTCTAATTGAGGCCTTGACACCCAATAGCTGGGATCCTTTTGCAACTTTGTGCTGCTGCCTCTGCTTCTGCTTCTTCTTGATTGTTTTTATTTATCCATTGACAATTCCGTACATGTGTACAATGTATCTTGATTATATTCGACCCAAATCCTCCCTCCACTGTCCTCAGGTAACCTCCAATGCTCCCCCTTTTGTACCTTTGTGTCTTCTTTTTTCTTTTATTTTCCTCTTTAAAATTTTTATATAACCAGCTGAATCTGGGAAGGGTTGCCTGCATGCAGATGAGTATGGGACCATCTACCAGGGCATGGGCAGCCTACCAGGTCCAGAAGGAAGAAAAAAAATTCCCCCTTTCCTAGAAGCCATCAACTGCCAATAGCTCCTCACCTAGGGGTAGAGCCTCGTGAACCCTCCCCCACCTGTGGTGGAATGTTGACTGGCTAGATTTTGCGTAGGCAATCACACCTTCTGTCCATGGGTTCGTGAGTGCTGCAGTCCTGTTCTGTCTGTCCAGAAGACAGCGTTTCAGAGCGTTTCTCCTCAGCCTGGCTCTGAAGTTCCTTCTGCCTCCTCTTCCACTATATCCCATGAGTCTGGATGGTGGTGGTGATGTAAGTGTCCCAGCTACGGCTGAACACTCAACTGTCACTCACTTCCAGCATGGACCAGCTAGGAGTCTGCCTTGACTGCTGCCCACTGCACCAAGGAGCCTCTCTGCCCACGGTTGAGGGCAGCACTGATCTATGGGTGTCAATGTAAACATTGAGAAGGCACTTGGACAGCATGACCACTTAGCAAAGCATCAGAAGGAGGTACCTTACCCCCAAGCTTCTTGATGCTTCCTATGTAAAACAAAATTCAGTTGTCTCAGAAAATACTTCTGCCATTATTAATGGTTTCTGTGAAGGATGTTAAGGTTTCTTAACCATTCTGTAGTGTGTCATCGCCTTCTTCCACTCTGTCCCTTAGCTCAGGGGGCATGCACCAAGATGGGGCATGGTCTCTCTCTGATTCCTGTTATATACCAAAAACCAAACCAAACCAAACCAAACCAAAACAAAAATCAACAGCAAAACAACAACAACAACAAAAAAAACCCCAAAATCTAAAACCAAAGCAAAATAAAAACATTTGCTAACCTGTGCATGCAGTACATTTCCCGTTGAGCAGCCAGTGCAATGAGTGTCTTTCTAAACCCCAGGCGGGAGGGGGTGATGGCTGCCTTCAGATGCTGGGGCTGTGTCATGTGCTTGAGACTAGTTGAGCTGTGAGTAGATAGGAAAGGAAGATGTGGGGCTGATGGGTAGAAATCAGACATCTTTAAGAGAGTAATTTAAAAATAATGTAATTAACAGTCAGGCGTGGTGGCGCACACCTTTAATTCTAACACTCGGGAGGCAGAGGCAGGAGGATCTCTGTGAGCTCGAGGCCAGCCTGAGCTACAAATCAAGTTTTAGGATAGCCAGGACTGTTATACAGAAAAGCCATGTCTCAGGAAAGAAAAATGTAATTAGTTGCCCAAGGATTGGGCAGGCCAGCTGAACAGGTCCTGAGTCCTCCAGCATGAGAAGCAAGCAGGAAGACTGTTGAGGTGTTGAGTGCTGTAGGAATTTTGAGCATCTCTTGAGGGAGGGACGAAGAGTGAGATTGAAGGCCTCCATGGACCCTGAGAGTGTATGGTTCTGTGAGATGTTTTTTCTTTGTCTTACTATTCTGGAGTCCACAAGGGTCGAGGCACCAGCGTCACAGCTGTCAAGGGGACCACTCTGCAGGTGAAAAAGAGATAATCTATGACACTCTATGATGGCTATCTACGACAGTACACGTGAGCTGTCCGCACTTAGCTCCTTGGGAGCAATGTCCTCCCTAAACCACAGGGCTAAGTGTAGTCACAGGACCTGGCTTACCTTATCTGCTGACTCTTCTCCTTGGGGCCGTCATTGTTTTCTTGTTGACCTGGAAGTTTGCTGGGAATGTGCACTGTCTGCTCCTGGCCCTTCTCTTCTCACCCACTTCTTACTAGCTGAACTTTGACTCTACTGGACAGCTTCTGGCCAAGAAACCTTTTGTGTGCTCCTGTTTATATTCAGTAAACATTTGCAAAGTGCCTATTGTGTGTCAAGCCCCCACAGTAGATGCTGGGATGTAGTATCAAGCAACACTTGTTTCTGGCGCTTAGGAAGTTCACAGTTGGGTAGAAAGAACAGAGGATTAGACAACATGACGTGTACTTCTTGTGATAGCAGCAACTACTGGAAGACCCTGCTGACTGGCCTCTAGGAGACAGGAGATGAGTCTGGGGATGCTATTCCCAGCTGTAGTTTTTCAGTGGAGGTCCCTCTTCAAATCTAATACAGTCTCTTCAGGTGCAAATAGAAGTAATTTGGAAGATAATATGGATCCTAGATTTTCTCTCCCTTTGGTGGGTGCTTCATATATAAAAGCATCAAGAACATAAAAACATGAATGCTTGCATCCAAAGAGGGGTATAGTGGTGTGTGTGTGTGTGTGTGTGTGTGTGTGTGTGTGTGTATAGTAATCCTGTCCAGCATAATCAGAATTTTTTAACTGCATAAGAGGTTTGGCAGAATTATTGTACAAAGTCCTTATCTTAAAGAGTAATTGGTCAGGTTGGGAAAAAAATATATTTCATGGAAAGAGAAACAAAATAAAGCCAACTTCATAATGCAAACAGAGTAGCCGGTGCTATATAGAATCAAGGTCAAGACTTTGAGCCCCCCAGAGACCTACAAACAAAACTAAAATGACTTGGATGTATTGGACATTCTAAGACCAAGACCATTAGGGGACAGCAATGAATCAGTCGCTCAACAGCCTAGGCTTAACCTTTGACTCTGCCTGTCTTGGTCTTGCTGCTACCCAAAGGCCTGCCCCTGTCCTTCCCCACCAGGAGTTCTGGATCTCCGTGGACACAGAGTTCCCCTTAGAGTAATGTGCTGTAATCCTCTCAGAAATCAGGGGCTGCACCTTTGCATTAAAGCAAATTTAGTCAGTGAGTGTTTACCTATCCGCACTCTGGGCTTTGGATCATAATAAATCTTAACATACCAACTTGCCCTTTGCTGAGATCCCGTTTTTCTTTAGTAATAGGATTTCCGCCCGGTCTGGCTTCCCT